CCGCCACTCCGCGGCCGGCAGCACGGCGTGGCTCAGTGCACACACGCGGCTGCAGCACCTGCAGCACCTCGTCGCGAACCCCGAACGGCGGCAGCGGATCGGGTCGGCGTGGCGCGCCCTCAGCGTTGCCAACTCGGGGGCGACACCGGACGAGGTGGGCCACATATATGCTCTCGCGCTCGTCTTTGAGTCGGTGCACAGCACAGCACGCGACATCTACTTCTCGGTGCAGTCCCTCTACCACCTGCTGACGCATCACGGCAACGTGCTTCAGAACGCACAGTGCCTACAGCGGCAGTGCGGGGCCCTCCTCATGCTCTTCCGAGCGACGAACTTTGAGCTGTACCGCCACTTCGTTGCGGAGGGGGTGAGCGTGGTGGAGTGGCTGCCGGGGATGTTTACAACGCTCCTCGCTGGCCGCCTGCACGAGGAGGACCTCCTGCGGCTGTGGGACGCATACCTCGCAGACGCCCTCGAATACCTCAGTTTTCCACTACACCCGTACGTGTGCCTCGCAATACTCGCGGAGATGACGGAGGTGCTGCTGGAGTGCGAGAAGTCTGGCATTATTGCACGGCTGCGGCACTTACCTCGCATCAAGGCCGGAAGCATCATTCAGAAGGCCATCTCGCTGAAAGAGTCGATCTTCTCAAAGGGGCTCCTGTGAGGAGAGAGAAGGAACAAAAGGTGCCTTGCGTGTCACAACGTCAGGTGTCTCTTCTGGCGTGTAACCGTGTGTGTGTGTACATGTGTTTGGATGTTGGTTGCTGACGATGTCTTTGTTGCTTTCTCCTTGTGGCTACGGGATTCTCTGCGTATAGCGCACCTTGTTATCGCATGCACGCACATATATACACAAGCACGCATTTGCTTTTATCCACCTTCTGTTTGTCCACGCTTCAAGACTCTAGAGGTGACTTCCTTCCCTTTTCCTCAAGGATTCTACTGTTGTTTATATTGTTCGTCTGCCGGAGTGTGTCTGTCTGCGCTACGCGAAGACTTGCAGTGAGGGGCGATGCATGGGAGCGTAAGCCCGCGGAGTTACCGGGCCGCACTGCTGGAACAGTTTACCGCTAACAAGAACAGCAGCAGCAGCATCAGTTACAACCCAATGACGTCATCATCACAGCGGAGGCGGCAGCAATGCGACAGTGTCGTTATTGAGAACAGCAGCCTGCTGGGAAAGTACGGTGACCTCCTGGACACAACAGCCGCAACGATAACAACATCGGCATATGGTGGATTAAGACGTGCTAGCCACCCGAACTCTCGTGTGATTGAGTTTATTGATCACTGTGTTGCCAAAGGCGTTCCGGAGTCTCTTATTGTTGAACATGTTATGTTTATGGTGAACGCAATGCAGGAACAAATCAGCATGAACGAAGCGCTACACGCACGTTATCAATATGACCGTCTACGTCAGTACGAGATGTTGGAGCTGAAGAAGACGTTGGAGCGGCAGCGGGTATTCTACGACCAGCAGCCGAAACAACAACAACAACAAGGACCACAAGCGTTGTATCGTCATAACAGTTTAGAGAATATCGATGCTACGAGGAGTCAGAGGCGTAGAGGCCACACACCGTCAGGCAGGGATGTGTGGCACTCGACGAGCGCACCCGCCGTCACTGCAACCGACAGTGCTGCGTCTGGTGTGGCCCATGGTGGTGGTGGTGCATATGTGCGTGGCAAGGCAGAGCCTATGGTAGCGGCGGTGGTGCACAGCCGCGCAACGGGACGTTCCCTGCGGCCTCCAAGCAGCAGTGAACGGAACGCGCAGGCAGTCTTCACACAGACCCCACGCGTAGACTCTGAGAAACTGGCCTCCAGTCGGCCTCGTGCTACGACCGCATCGACCTTTCACCGTTTCATGCGGCCGACGGATGCCAGCTACCGAAAAGAACGACAGAAACGCACTTCCGTAACTGAGGAAGAAGAGCAACACCAACAGCAGCAGAAGCAGAAACAGAGGCCGAAGCACCAGCAGCTGCTCCCCACGGATGCAGCCCGCCGCAGCCAAACACGCGGCCCAGTGTCTAACAAGGATGCAGCTGCGTGGCGGGGGCGCCAGCGGCTTTTGGGTGAGACGGGCATCAGCGTCGTAGAGAGTTCGACGTGGTCTGATGATGATTCGCCCCTTCCACGCATCCGCCACTGGAGAAGCCCCGGCTCTACAGAAGATGCAGGGCCACAACAGAGACGAGAAGAGCAGCAGGAGGAGGAGGAGGAGGAGGAGCGCGTCACAACAGTCGTCGTAAAAACCGCAGGCTCGTCACAGCCCTTTTCACCGTTACCCACTGAAAAGACGCCCAGCAATGATGCAACAGCAGTGACGGCTGTGTACCCTGTGGAAAAGGTAGAGACGATGACAGCGTGGCAGAGCGGAGCGCAGTATAAAGCTGCCGGTGTTGCGTCCGCACCCGTGATGTCGGTGCAGGCTCCGTCGTACGTTCCCAGCCCCCAGCTACAGGCATACATTGAGCAGAGTCAGCGCAAGGTGCGAGAGGCGGAGCGCTTGTTGTCGAATACGCCTGGGCGCACCGGGAGCAGCATCCAGCGAGTCCGTCGCAGCGCCACCCGCTCGCCCCTCTCAGACGTATTGTCTGAACTCTCGGACGAGTAGTGTGTCCTGTTCTCGGCTCGTCCGTTGTGCTTTTTTTTTTCTCTCACAGTCTCTCTTTTGTACACTTGAGTCACAACACGCGTCGCTGACAACGAGTGACGTAGTGTCGCTGGGGACATGGCATGAGACACACTCTGAGAGACTCCAGATCGTTGATGCTTTATTTGTTGTTGTTGTTTTGTTTTCTTTCTTTTACTTCCGCGTTGGCTGCGGCCACTGACACCGAGACACGACCAGAGAGAAGGGAGTATAGTTGATGACAGGATGGCCGAAGTGTTTCGCGTGCAACTTGTATCACTGGACGTCAGCGCCATGACGGAGGGCGGTGCGCCGTCGCTCTTGCACGCAGAGGCACACATGCATGGTCGTGGTGCGATGCATGAGGACACCGATGCGCATGACGACACCGCATCCTCCCCTGTCGAACTGCTGAGCAAGCTGTATTACGGTGCCGCGAGTATTGTGAGCGAAGTTGAGGATGGGTGCGTCCTTTCCGAGCGCCAGACTGCGGCAGTGCAGCAGCGGTGCCAGTCGCCAGCGCACATGGACCTCCAGGGCGGCAGTCGGCTGTTTTTATTTCACCCCGTTGAGGAGGGGGAATTCCTACTGGCTGTCACCATACCCGTCGGCGTGTGGCGCTGGTTGGGGCCGGTTGCATTGCATGTTGTGTTGTCGACCGCAGTGCGCGGGTACGAGATCTCGACGCATGTTGCTGCTGTCACTTCCGTCCCCACATACTATCCGTTGCGTGATCGGCTTGCAGAGAATGCGCCGGCCGTGCAGGATGCCGTGCGGGAGCGAATGAAGCAACTCATAGAGTTCGTCAACTTCTTGAACGAGTGCGGGCATCGTGAAACGGCGTCAGCGGCAGCGTTGCGGCAGGGTGGACAGGAAGCTGTAGCCGCCGCACAGAAAATGTGCTACGAGCGTCCGTCGTCGATTCGTACCAGTAATCGTTTGTCCATGACGCTGCAGCAGCTGCTTTGGTCAGCAACAAGCTCCTCCGATTACATCGCGCTGAGCGGTACAATGCCGAGTGGCGGCATGTGCGATGGATACAAGCGTCTCATTGTGACAGCAGCTGCGGTGTGGCACCTTGGCGAACCGCTCTTCAGCAACAGCTCGCGCGAGGACTTCGAGGCACACCTTTTGCCAGCCGCCATTGTGGCGTACGCTGAACAATGCTCCGCTGGTCGCAGAGCCGACGCCACTCTGCAACCGGTTACTGTGAAATGCCTGGCGATGCACTCACAGACGGGACGGGATGCCGTGCGCACTGCAGGCTACGTCAAGCATAGTCAGCAAAACGAGCAACGAGCCATTGTGTGTGTGGTGTTTGTCTCTTCAGGTGGGTGGATTATCGTGTTGTGCCTCGAAGCGGCTCTCAACGTCTTTACCGGCTCCCCCATGCCGCACATTGTCTCTGGTGTAACAAACCTCATCACCATGACGCTCGAAACGCCGCGTTTTGCCGATGTGGTCAGGGAGTTCACCGCGTGTAACCTCCTGGTGGCGCGGCCCAGTGCCGCGCTCACTGCACCAGTTCATCGCGTTCTGCAGGCGGTGCGACATCTGGGCCTCTTTACGCATTGCCCCACCAGCACCGCCTACGCAACGGCCGTGTCGCGGGACACCTGCCTCTACCGCTACCGCCGCGAAACACAAGACGCGGTTGTCGGGGTGTGGTGGGTCCCGTGGCCGGAGCACATGAGCAAAGCAGTGCTTCCCCTCGTAAAGCTGGCCTCTGTTGCATTTCGATACCGACGTCAGAAAGGATACTGTGGCAGCAGCAGCAGCAGCAGTATTCGTGTCACCCATGGTCTAACATCTTTTTCCCTGTTGCGTGGGCGTGACGCCGTCGTCGTACTGGTCGCCGCTCCTGTGTTTGACCTGGAGCCGAGAGTTGTCTCTTTCCTTGCAGAGATGGATCCAAAAGGTCTACCCGCTGTGGCAGAGCTGCGCGCCTTTGCAATGTGGGTGTTGTCGAAGGCTGTTTAGGTGTGGGGCTGACCGTTGGGGTTTTTTTGTTTGTTTGTTTGCCGTCCATAGACACGTGGTTGTTTCATTGCTGGTGCCCTCCCTACATCCACTCACCCACAGACACAGACACATGTTATGCTGTGAGGTACTCAAGCGAAAACGAAAAGAAACATGAGGAATGGCTGTAGATGTGTATTGTGTGATTCTCGTTTTGGTGTTCTCTCTTGATGTTTTTGTTTTACTTTTGGGCTGTTGTTGTTGTTGTTGATTTTTTTTTTTTTGCCCTGTAGTCTTGACGTGGTGAAGAGTGTGCGCCACCTCCTTCTACCGGGCACACAACGTAGGTGGGGGGACACCGCGCTAGAGCCTCCTTCTCGGCATTAGAATGCAGCGCACGTTCGGAGTACCGCCTCCGGCAATGTATCCCTCGCATCAGAGCAAGGATGAGGAGGACCTCGTCCGGCAGCTCGTCGAGGCGGTCGACGTGGATGAAGTTATTGAGCGTATGGAGATGGATCACTATCAGCACCTTTCCCCCATCGTGCAGAATTTGAAGCCTTTTGACCGCGTCTCTAGCCGGGGGGAGCGCTTTGACGCGGTTCATCCACAGGAATCGTTAGATGTTCGTCTGAATGCACCTATGCGTTCACCAGTTGACGATGCAGATGAGCACAAGAGCAATCGTAGGGGGTCGTTAAGTACTTGGTCAGCACCGCGCCCCCACACGATCATCTCGCCACCCCTACCAGTTCAAGAACAGAAACAGCCACAACAGAAACTTCTGAACGCTCTCAGTGCGGCATCGCCACACGTATCGGATGCAGATACATCCTCCGCGCCACACGACAATGACCACACGGAAAAGCCCTCGCTACTCCGTCGGCACCGTTCGCGCCCTTATAGATCAGCCAAGCTTCGGGCGCCGGTGAATTCCCCTAACCGCACCGATATGAAGGCAATGAATAAGCGGGAACATAGTCTCGGGAGCCATCAGCGTCGGCGTCAACATGAAAGACGGCGAGCACCTTCATTTGGCGAGGTACCTCCTCCTTACTTAAACCGCGAGTTGGAGCTCAACCGATCGTACCGCGAGCTGTCCAACCTGCGCGCGCCTTCTGCCGACACAAGCCTGCGGGGGAACTTCGGTGCTGAACATGTCTATCACCATAACCGGCATAGTAGCGGTTTTACTGGTGGTGGAAGTGGTGCCAGTGTCGCTGCTGGGTCTCACCGGCGCGCCTTCACGCCACCGCCACCGGAGATCTCTGCTGTGGGGCGGCACTCGCCGTCGCCGTCACCCGATCTGCCGCCGTGGTCAGCACGAACGCAGGACGACGCCTGGGCGTACCAAAACAGCCGCAGCCTCTATTTCGACCGCAATGACTACTGGGGCCACATGGATAGGGGATTCGAGTGTACCCCAACGGCCACAACAGAGGAGGCCCACACGCCAGACGATGCAGACTTCGATGAGGAGGAGGATGGTGAGTATGTCGCGGTGCCGCCACGTATAATTGAGCGTGAGCAACACCGACGGCCGCGGGTTGTGGAGCCGTTGGTGGATAACTCCAACCTTTTCGTCGACCCCGCAGGAGATCACATGGGTACGCGAAGGGAGGCAGTGCCTCTAGCGGGCAACCAGCAGCACCAACACCTCCATTACCAAGGGGGAGAGGAGGAAGAAGAAGAGGAGGCAAAGGAAGAGGAAGAGGAAGAGGATGTTTCACATGACCCTACCTTCAATACACACACAGTTCGTCCGCGATCCTCTACGAGCGCAACTGTCAAAGGCGCCGGGACGAAGAATAATGTTCGCAATGCTTCGGAAGTGGAATACCACCATAATACGCTTTCCTTGTCATCGCTAGCACCAACACCGCAGGAACGCAGCTTGGCAGATACGAAGGAGCAAGTTGATGCGTCAAGGATCCGCTCACAGTCGCGGAATAGGTCGCAATTGGTAAACGACAAGTGGGTCTCTGCGACGATATCGGTAAAGGACGACAACACGTCGCGTCAGGATGCCACTTCAGGGCGGCAGAGTGGTCATCGCATGAGCCCTGCTTTGTCGCCAATGCGACTCCTTGCCCCGACCTCGACTGTAATGGACCCAAGCAATGGTGTTTCCAGGGGCGATAAAAACGCGGATGCTGGGAAGGGGAGAGTACGCAGTGGCGTGGAGGATGTGGGAGGCAGGAATAAGAAACCCAAGGGAAAAAATGCACATGGGGCACGTAGAGCAAACAAGAGGGAAAAAAAGGAAAGACCACCTGTGTCTCCTGCACTCTCCGAAGGAAGCCTTTCTTCGTACTCGTACTCCTACACTAGCTATAGTGGCTCCTCTACGCAAGACTCAGAGGAGGCACCAGCAGCGCAGAAGAAAGCGGCCACGGGGCCACGGCCAATGCAGAGAATCGAGACAACTTCGAGGCCGCCGGTGGGGCCTAAAATATTTCCATCAAAAGGTCCAATTGTACATCCACCGCTTAACAATCATCAGGGTAATAGGATGAAGCAGCCAGTTTTGGCGCCACAGCAAGCTCTACAGAGGAAGCAACAGCAAGGGCCACCACCGCCACGTGGGCGGCTTGCAATGCGTCCGCCGTCACAACGGTGTTTGTTGTCGGCATCTCTCCCAGGAGCACCACGTGATGGGGTGCTACACAGCAACAGCTTCCTTCGCTCCACGGAGCCGATACGGAGACCTCCTTACACTTTTCTACAGTCTAGAGCGACGGGCCTGTCGGCTGCTCCGCCTTGTGATGAAAGTTTGCGCAGCGCACCAAGATCCGCGGCGTTGTCGTCAGGGCCCTACGTGTCGTATCTACCGCACTCGGTGCGGGCGCCTACATCCGCGAAAACGCCTGCGCAGACGACCCCTCAGGAACAAATGCGAAGTGTCTCTATGCCCACCTCTGTGGCTATGGTGCAGGGCGAGGTGCGGGAAATTGTCTGGCGCACCAGCGATCGAGACTCTGTAGAGGGCAAGAATCACAAGGCGCCTCCTCCCCCGGCGAAGACGAATCTGAGTTCGCACTACATACCCCCGCGGCCGCGCAGTGCATCAACCGGAGCAAACCCGCCACCACCAAAGAACCTCCCGCTGCGGGCACAAGACTCGGTGCGAAATGGGCGAAGCGCCAGTGCAAATCGTATCATAGAGGTGCCACGTCAGCGACCCAGTAGGCAGCCATCGGCCTCTGGTGGCACACAAGTGGGTATCTCAGCACCTGCATCTTCGGGGAATTCACCAAACCCACAGAAGCCAAACAACCAGGGCGTGCAGGTTCCGACGTTTGTCATACAACTCCCGCGCAATGTGAGGCGAAGTGAAATTGTCACGCCCTCCGCTATCCGTGTGGAAGTAGATCCTCCCGTGAAACAGTGAGGGTGGCAGCAGGTCACAAGGTGTGCGGCACGTCTGAAGCGCCTTATGTTTGAGGGGCTCTGATGTTTTGTGCATGGACGCCTGTGTATGTCTATCTGTATGCCTCTCTCTCTCTCTCTCTTTTTCTTTGTATGTGTGTTTGGTCTCGAAGCTGCTTCCGAATGGCTGCACCCTTTCTTCCTCGGTGGCGCATGACTCGCTTACGGGGCATTAAGTCCATTGTTGGTCGCTACTCCGTCTTATATACAAATGGTTAATTCGCCAGTGAGGGGGTATGTGCGGTGGTGCAAGTCCGCAGTGGTTGAGTTGTATTTATGCGCTCGAAGTGGCGCCACAAACTCTCTGGTGGATTCTGTGCCGTTTCTTTTCTGCGTTGTTGTTGTTGTTGTTGTTGTTTAGGTTTTCATCTGAATTCTTCCCATCCCTGTTTCCTCGCCTACCTTACAAATGCTGCATCGTGTGTTTTTGTTTTTTGTTTTTTTCGTGTTGTACCTCAGTGTATGTGTAACGCGTCGTACCTATTGTCTTTGGTGTTCTTGCTCATTTTGGTCCCCCTTTGTTGTTGTTTTTTTTGTCTCTCTTGGGTGTTGTACTGTTGCGTGCCCATTCCTCGCGAATGGGTATCCGAGGGTGTAGCTGGCGTCGGTTGAGGTGGAGGGGAAGAGCACAAGCGGTATGGCGGCAGCCGCAAGCAATGAGAGAACGGGCCAGCCGTGGGCAGACAAGTACAAGCCGCAGTGTATCGCGCAGATGTGCTACCCCGTCTGCGCAAATAAGCTAAAGGCGTGGATTGAGGGATTTGACGCAGGGAGCTCCAAGACAAGCGGTGCACTCCTCTCTGGTCCCCCTGGTGTGGGAAAGACTACATCTGTCTACGCCGTGGCGAGAGAATTGGGTCGTGTTGTGGTTGAATACAATGCTAGTGACTTCCGCAGTCGCAAATCACTCCGTGAGCATGTGACAGACGTCATCAACAACCGTGCCTTCAGCAGCAGCGCTTCGTCGTATGCCAAAATCATTCTTCTTATGGATGAGGTAGACGGCTGCGACATTGGAGGTGTGGGAGAAGTTATTCAAATGATAAAGACGACCACAATACCGATTGTGTGTACATGCAATGACCGCTGGCATCCGAAGCTCCGTTCTTTGTTGAACCATGTGGAGGACATCCGCGTCAGTCGGCCCCCATGCAACATTGTCGCCAACTACATTTGCGACAAGGTGCTTGCCCGTGAAGGCATTTCCCTCTCGAAGCAACTTCTGCAGGATATCATCCAACGTTCTGGGAGCGACATTCGAAGCATGCTCAACAACTTGCAAATGTGGTGTGTGAATCGCACCACGCTGGAGCAGAAAACCCTTGCGGAGTGTGCTGTGCAGTCTGCAAAGGACGGTGATGTTGGCCTCTTCGAAGCGGCAGAGATGTTCCTGCTGCAGGGCACATCAAGGGGGAAGCACCGCTCCATTGAGGAGCTCCAGTCCGCCTTTTATAACTCGGATCTGGTAGATTTATTCGTGCAGGAAAATTACATTCATTTTAGGCCGGAGGGTCGTGACTGGATGAGCGCAGTAGCGGAGGCAGCGGCGTCCATCTCGTTTGCTGATGATGTGCAGCGCATCATGTACTACGAGCAGAACTGGTCTGTTTCCCGCGCCTACGTGCAGTTGTCAAGCATTGCCCCCTGTGCTATGACACGTGGACATTACGAGTCGTTTCTGTCAGGGCAGCAGGTCTTTTTTGACCGTCAGCGCCCAGTGAAGTTTCCGTCATGGCTCGGGCAGAACTCTTCCGCCAACAAGAATAAAAGACTCCTCCGCTGCTTAACCCTACAAGCGTCACACCACACGAAGGGTATTAGTGGCAACCAGGAGGACGTTCTGCTTGACTACATACCGATGGGGTGGGAAGCTGCCTTGACACGGCCACTCGCTGAGGAGGGTAAGAATGCCATTGGGGAGGTAATTAAATTCATGGATCAGTACCACATTATGCGAGATGACTGGGAGTTTATCCAGGCTGCATCACACTTTAAGAAGATGCAGTCATCCCCCAGTAACGCTAGCGTAGCGGAAATACCCACAGCTGTCAAGTCTGCATTTACACGGGAGTTTAACAAGACGCACCACACCGAGAGTTTTGCAAAGGGGGCACTGCAGCACATGGGTGTAGACGCTATGAGCGATGAAAACGAGGGGGATGGTGACGACGTGACTAGAAAGGCAGTAGCTACAGCTGCATCAAAAAAGAAGAAGGCGCCGGTGGTGAAGAAGACGGCTAAGAAAGAGACGACGGATAAGCCAAAGGCGAAGCGGCAGCCTGCCAAGGCGAAGAAGTCAACAGGCAAACGTGGTAAAAAGGCAGCATCAGCATCTGACTCGGAAGAGGAGTTTGTCGTGGGCAGCTCGGATGATGACTAGATACAATCTCTATACCTGAGTGTCTTTCTGGGTATGTGGGTCTGGTCAAAATGGATGTGGAGTGGCTTTCTCTCCCCGCACTAATGGGGTAAAGGTGCAGCGATAGCAGTACATTGTTGAACGTGGCTCGATGCCAACTTCACACATCATGCCGTCTTTTAAATCCTTTCATTTGTACGTCCACATTTCAGCTGCCGTTTTATTGGTGTGGAGTGGCTGTACCCTGGTGTGTGGAAACGGACACATCACACCTGCGTTGATCATGCCCTTGTAATTGTTCGTATTATTCTTTCTTGTTTGTTACTATCATTTTTATTTATTATTATTACTGTTGTTCTTATTTTCTTCTTGTTCTAGCAGTACGCGTACTGGCTGTGCAGAGGGCTGGCTGCGACGATGCAGCCTGTGGAGCACGTCAGGATCGGCAAGCATGTCTTCCCACGCTACTCACACCCGCTCTTCCGCAGCAAGTTGCATGATGAGGCGTACGTGCAGCAGCAGATTGAGCGGCAGCTGCAAAACCCGCAACTGCAGCTTGCAGTGAACGAGGCCGTGGAGCAGCTCCTGCGTCAGGGCGTGACGGGGAGCATCAGCGAAGAGGACACGGCTGCTTACTTCGAGAAGGCCCTCGGGAGCCTCGACGTGTTCTTTGCAGAAAGTACAAGTAGGGCCAGCACACCCGCGTCGGTGCTGGCCGATCAGGTGTCCTGCACCTTCCTCAACAGCAGTCCCGCACCTGCAGTGAGGCCATCACCCCCTCGCGTGCGCCGCTTCTTCCCGGCACCGCACTGTTCCCGCGTCGCACTGCCCACCGGAGTGCCATCGCTGCAACTGCGTGGGTTAGAACCGCTACGGAAGACGCAGTTGAGACTACCACTGCAGAAGAAACAGCAGAAGCATGACGCCGCAGAGAGCAGCATCGATGAGGCTACTCCTGGTCCTGTCACGCTTACACGGCGACAGCTCCTACCTTGCAGCGAGGTTGATGAGTGCGACAGGAATGAAATGCTATCTCTGTTACCTGAACTAAAACATGATGCAAACAAGGGGCACAAGAGGCAGGGGCCATCATCACTTCAACTGACTGTAAGTGCACCACCAGAGTGGCGAGATGCTGTGCGCTCGCTCTTTTACTCGATGCTTTCGCTCCGTGTAGAAGAGAGCGGTGGTGTGCAGCCTAGTGAAATGGACCTACGGAGCGGGGCACAGGGGTTGCTGCGGTTACAGGGCGCTGAGCTGACGTCGCTGAATCGTGAGGCCTTTGGTGCGTTGGACGTGACGCTGGACGGCAACTCCACTGCCATTCACTGCCGTCCAAAGGCACCACCTAGCATATTTCAACGCTCACACGCCCAGCAGGCGGAAAGGGGCTTTCAAATAAAGCCAAGTGTGCTCCGTCAACGAGCCATGAAAGTTGTTGTCTCGCCCAGCATTACTACGTGCACGCCCAAGGAAAACACGGGTGTGGGAGGGGCATCACTCAAGCATTCTTGGGCCAGTCCCTCACTTGCGACCGTGCCCACGCTGCTGCAGGGCGCCACGGAGCTGGAACTGCCAAGCACGACGTGTCGCAGCCGCGTGCTGGCCTCCATCTTGATGAGCCAGGAGAAGCAACGACAGGCGGGTCTTGGGAAGGAAGCAATGTACAAGTAGTGCGTATTGATATGCAGCGTCCTCAGCAGGATTTGGGGGGGTTTTCTCTCCCTCTCTCTCTGTATGTGTGTGTGTGTAGTTAAAATGAAGTAACGAAGGGCTATGGCGTGTTCCTTGTTTCGTATCTGTTGTAGTACTAATTTTGTTTGTTTGTTTCTTTTGCTCTTCATATTTCTGTGGAGCGGCTGCGAAGTGAGTTTGAGGAGGGAACAGGAAGCGAGTAAATGACGGATGCTGCCCCTCGGAAGAAGCCGTCCAAGCAGCCGGAAAAGCCGCTCACAAGCATGCCACCAAAGACGCAGGTCAAGAGCAAGCTGCCCACCAGAGCTCCCGGAAAGGTTGGCAGATCTGAAACGAAGGCGGGTCCCACAAAAGTATCACCCGCAACAGCAACAGCAGTGGCGGCATCGAAGATGCCAGCAGGGAAGAAAACTGTGCCAACACGTTTTCCTTCACGAGCAAGCAAGCTTCCACCAAAGACCACGCCTTTGGCAGCAAAAGAGGACGCAGTTCAATCTTCCACCAGTTCCTCTACGCCAAGAGCGGCAAATATGACAGCAACACCGTTGGCTCCCACGCGCTCCGATACATCCTCCGAAGGATCGGTACACCTTGCCACGTACGATGATATGCTCAGTCCTATTGACACTCCGAGAGAAATGACTGGGATCCATAAGGTGGCTGATGTGGGCATTCTGGAGCAAAGCGCACAGCCACTTGAAAAGGAGGAGTCCTCTCTGAAGGAGATGGGGACGCCGAATAGAAAGGTTCCACCAAAGGCAGACATCACTGCAGAAGCGGCTGTGCAGGTGACGGAAGGATGCACACAACGTCCTGTGACGGTACGAAAAACAGCAGAGAGGCACGCGGGGTACGTTGGAGATATTGCCAAGCAGCTTGTTAAGGCCGAGGAACGCGTGGGGACTCTAACTGGAGAAGTCGCAAGACTCCGAGAAGCACTAGGCGGAACCGACAATTCTATGTTTGTTCAACACACCTTTCAAGCGGAGAATGGAGTAGAGTGGTTGCGGCAGGAGCTGGCGCGGGAGCGTGCGTCCACCAAGCATCATCGCGAGGCTCACCTAGCGGTGCTTCTAGAACTAGGCAAGCTACGCGAGGAGGTGGACCGTTATGGGACACATGACTTGCTGTTGAAGCGTAATGCGGAGCTGGAGGCGCAAATGAGTGATATGGCAAAGGAAAAGGTTGAACAGGAGATGGTTATAGTGAGACTCCAGGAGGAAGCCGCTGCGTTGGTGTCTCAATATGGCAACTCACCTTGCGGCTCTGGGTGCGTGATGGTACGTCTTTCCAGTTTGTGCGAACTTTGCTGCGAAAAGTTGAAGCTGGAGGCGAATCGTCGCACGGCGCATGATCGTTTGGCGCAACTAACGGAGCTGAAGCCGATGGGCGTCGTTCCACATTCTCTACCGGAACCGTGGTCACCGGAAATGATGAAACAGCTTCAAGAGCCGCGTAAACAAGCCCCGCCGCTCTTACCGACAAATGGTGCGGTCTCACTTGCCGCTGGACTTGAAGGCCGAGGTGGTGCCCAGCCAGAGCAGGCGGTGCAGGACCAGGAGTCGCCATAAACTGGCACAGCTGTGGTGGGCAACAACGCAGCGGAACCTCCGGTAAAGCTGAGAGGGGTAAAAGTGGGGCTTCGAGTATGTGGCGAGAGCTTAGTGTCCCAGATGGAAGGGCCATCTTCTACAATATTGTCACAAATGTGTCTACTTATGAGCGTCCCGAGGCGCTACAGTTGTGAGTACGTGGGATTTGATTATCATTAGCAAGCAGCAAGGGGATGCTGCTCAGCGAAGGTGCATCTTCTCTCTCTTTCTTTCTCGCCAGCACATTGCTTTGCAGAGCGGCAGAAGTGTTGTGATCCTATCGAACCTTCTACGGCACAGATGCTTAGTTGCCCACGGGTCCTTTCAATCGCATGCTCAGACGATGCCTATCGTTCTTGCTGTTGTTGTTGTTTTTGTTGTTGTTGTTGTTGTTAATCTGGAAAGACAGCACAGTGAGAGAATTCTTCGGTATTGCACATCCTCAATTTTTATACTTGCTGTGCTCGTTTTGCAGGCAAGGACAAAAATTAACACACGCGGGGAGAAAGAGAGAGGGATCAAGGATGAGCAAGATGGCCAAGAAGCGTGGCCTCACGATGGACGAAAAGGTGTCACGGGTCGAGGAGTGGTTTGTGGCCCACCCTGTGCCGTACACACTAAAGGACTTAGTGGCCGCTCTGCCGAAGGCGACGGGCGTGATTCCTCAGTCTGTTGAAGAGTGCCTTGAGATTCTCGTCTCCGAGGGCCGTGTGCAGCAGAAAAAGGTTGGCATACACGTTCTATTCTGGCGGTTCCCCAAAACTGCGGCGCAGCAGCTGGCTTCCGCTGTCACAGGTGGAACCGCCGAAGTCACAAAGTTCTTGAGTATGAGTACAGCACAGGTGCAAGGTGAACTTGACTTATTGGTGAAGAAGGAGGAGGACACATGTAAGCGAATTCAAGAAGTGCGTGCGGCCATCGGTGAGGAAACTTTGGTGCAGCAGGACGCCGAGAAGATGCGGGAACTGCAGAAAGAGCTGCAGATGTTGCAGGCGCAGCTGGAGCAGCTCTCCATGTTTGACCCTCAGATGATAGAAAAAGTGAAGGCGGCGACATTCGTGGCCTGGGAGGCAGCCAATCGCTGGACAGACAATATGTACCTACTGCAGCATCACATCACGCGGCGGTTGGGCCTCAGCGCACGGGATCTGCGCTCGCAACTGCAGCTTCCGTCAGATATTGACTACATCGAGTACGATGACCTCTTGTCTGGCTTCAGTGCCGCGGCAAATTCGGTGGCAACCGCTACTGTTGGGCATCAACCATCGCCACTACGGCAGGTGGAAGGAGACGCCAACGTGGAGACAGACGCAGCAACGATGCGTGACGCCGATACTCCTGCGGCCCTTGAGAACGGCACTCCAGAGCCAAAGAAGAAGACGAGGAAAAGATTTCCAGATAGAACTGGAGAAAAGAATGAGCAAAACATGGAGAAGTCTGGCAAACGCACGCGGGACGATAGCACAGCCAGGCCAGGAGCCATTGGAACAGGGGAGTCGACTAAGGAGGGCGCTGTGGCGTCTGCGGCGGCACGCACTGCCATTCACCGCCGTCGGAAAAAGGCGGAAGCATGATGTCGCACAGGCGGGGGGTGGGTGAGGCCGCCTCGCGCCCGGTCATGTCTGATTTCGCACCGTGGTAGTGTTTTCGGCACGTTTGTCTGCTGGTTGTACTTGATTTCACTCCGCTTCGCTGACTATAATTTGCTTTTTTTTTATATCACTCGACCGTACAGAAATAGATTGGGTTGGTTTTAACTTCCTCGTTTTTTTTTTCTAATGGGTTTCAACGACATCTCTTGACACACTCAGCGTTTCATCTGGTACCCAGCATTGCTCCACCACAACGTGGGGAGAGCAGGCAATGACGGGGCGTAAAGTCTCCTCCACGCTTCTACACCGCAGAGTGGTGCTGCAAAGCACAAACCCATTTTAACACAGACCTTTTTTTCTCCGCTATTAGTGTCTTTTTACGACACGCATCGAACAGTATGGGTCTTCTTTACCCAGCCAAAGAAGTCGGCAACCTACCCGTCGATTCGCATCTCTCCGTCAACACTATATGAAGCAAATGTTATTCTACAGGGGAAGGACTTCGGCTACTGGAAAACAGAATCTCATGTAAGTAACCATAGTAGTACCAATACCCTCGCGCACATCCAATAATCTGCTTCATTGGGTTTCTTCCCCCTCTTTCTCTTCCCAAAAGAAGTATTTCCTGTTGAAACACACAAGCAAACGCAGCCATGGCGGTTGCCACCTTCGATTCATGGGGGGAATTCCTCGTGTACATCACCTTCCTCTTCTTTGGGCTGTCGGTGACGATGGTGTCGAACTCAATCATGGCAGCCCCGTCATTTATGACGGAGTACTACAAGTACGCACAAGGCGACCCGGATGTCGAAGCCGATGATCCATCGTTTTGGTTTAACATTCTGACATACTACAACGTCGCTGTGTTTGGTACGCA